TATTGTTAAGGCTTTTGAATTATATATGAAATCAGTGTAATAGGAATATGGTAATGTATAAAAAAGTGTTAGTATTGCCTATAAAAAAGGTTAAGGTATAGAAAAAGATTTAGATAAAGCAATTTATTGGTATAAGAAGGTTGTCAGAAATGGGTGTGAAAAAGCTCAAGAAAATTTGGATCTCTTATTGAGTTAATCTTCTAAATAAGATTTTTTCTTTTTTAATGATCAATTTATTTTTGCAAATATTTAAATATTTAGTATTTTTTATAATTTTAAATTTAATTTACAAATCTACTGTAAAATAGACTTTTCATATATAGATAAACAGAATAATATTTTATTCTTTTATTTAGAATATATATAATATTTTTTTCCTAATGATTATATTATCTAATAAAGAACATTGTTAGATGTCAAATTATTAGTTTATCATAAATATATTACGCATTGATATGTATATAATTTCTTTTTTAATTCCTCTTATATATTATAAAACTGAAAAATTCTTAATGTTATTGCAAATAAATTCAAAAAGCTTAATCTCTCGCAAAATATTTAAGTTTTTTTTTCTATTTAATGTTTGTTACTGCCACTCAAGCTTCTTCTATCCTTGGTATTTCTTGTGTACACTTTGTTGCTAGCACAGTAACAGTAAAATAACAGCATTTTGTTCACCAGGTAGTGTATGACTTTATGATGTTCAAATATTGTAGATTCTACTACTACCACCACCATCATCTTCACCGCCACTAAAAAAGGGTTCCTCTATGCATAGGTCTCTAGTATCAAGTAAAAAAAGGATCTTGAGTGACAGAAGTAACTCTTCAATTCCTGGTTCCTAACCTATGAACTCAGCTCAGGTGTTAACTTTAAATGACTAGAACTTAAGATCTTATTGGAATAGATATATTGCAGAATAGTCTCAGAAATTGTGGTTACCTATTATGACTGACTCTTCTACTTCGCCTTTGACCTCATCTAGTACATACTCTTCTTCTATATTACAAAACTCGTGATTTTCTTTGACGATGCGATCTCTGATAAACATGAACTTTTCCAAGATATTCTTGCAATTAACATAGTCTTTATCTGTCAAATGTAAGAAAGAAGAGCTGCTATTCACTAACAAGAACGTTAGGTTAGAAAAAAAGCATAAGACAAAGATTAGAATAACATCAGCATGCAATAAGCGATAATACTTAGAAATCACTCTTAATCGTATACTACTAATCAAAGTGTATTCAAATAGCCTCTCAAAAGCAGCTACTTAAACAGTGGATAGGCTTGATGAGATATTCTTATAATGCAGTTATTCACTAGAATTGATACTGCTGTTTATATACCAAGAATTCACATATTAGTCCATCATAACGAATTTGAATAAAACTTTAACCCATTGAAGATAAACTTAACATTATGCAAATATTTATATAGGAAAAGACGTTAATAAATATAAGGACAAGAAACTTCAAAAATTATGTATATAGGGTAAACGTAAATTCATACAGACTATTGTACATATTGGAATGCTACTTCAAGATACATATGGAAAAGCACCTGCAAATATTATTGATGAGGTAATTGATGAAGCATTAACTGCTAGATATGATTATTATTTTTAATTTTTTTTTGTTTAAAATTTTTATTTATTTTTTGATTTATTTTTTGATTTTTTAATTAATTTAGGGATAAGATAATTAACCATAATATAAGATCAAACACAAATCAACGAGATTTATCTTTATCATTTTAATCTCAAAAGATTTACGATAAACAATAACAATTCAGTTACAAAATTTTTCAAAATCCATGTGGAACCATTTTTATGTCACCTATCTTCACAATTCATTAATGCTTTTCACACATTATCATAAGCCTATTGTCACTCTAGATCATAATAAATGTGATTTGTGATCTCTTCATTTTTAAAAAAAAACGTAATAATAAGTGGCCTGTTCCTTACAAGATAACATCTGATTGTAAAATCACATATATTCGTAAAACTAATGAATGGAAATTTTCATGGATTTATGAGATGCAAAAACAGTTCTGCAAAATCCAAGCGGATGGTTCTATTTATGCAGTCTCCATTGATCCTGGTGTTCATACACCCTTCACATAATACTTTCCTACTAAAGGTGTAGGTAAAATTGGCCAATATGACATTAGACGAATTATTCGTTTATGCAAATGTATGGATAATTTTCATTCTATAAGGGATAAGCTGGCTTCCTCTAATTCAAAACGTAAAAATAAAAAGGCCTTGCGACTTGATAATGCAATTTCTCAGATGATACGAATAATCAAACATCTGCAAAGTGAAATCCATAAAAAGAGTGTTACATTTTTTACTCGCGAATTTGATGCCATTATCATTCCTCCTTTTGAGGTATCAAATATGATAAATCGAAAAACAAGAAATATAATGCGAAAAACTGTTTGTAAAATGCTCTTTTGGGCTCACTATCAATTTCGCCAACGTCTGGTAGCTAAAGCTGAAGAATTAGGGGTCCATGTTATTATCCAAAATGAGGCCTATACTTCAAAAACTTGCAGCTGGTGTGGGAGTGTTCAAAAATAGGAGGATCTGAGATGTATAAGTGCCGAAGTTGTGGAGCTGTAATGGATCGCGATGAAAATGGTGCTATTTTTCTCCGGGCTTTGCTTGATGGAGCCTTGATTCTATCCGGAGATCATGCAGGAAATAATAGTAATACTTATTATTGATGTATTACAATCCATCCGGGTTTAACTTTATATGTATACAATATACAAATCAATGATGATGAAATATGGGTATATAATTTCGACTTTGAAATTTAGTTTCGACTTTTCCCGGTATAAAAAATTGAAGGACGAGATAAATCTTCGAAAAAGTGGGTTCATTTGGATAAATAATCAATTTCCGATTACTGTAAGATAATATCTTTGGAAAGAAATCTTTTTTTTTTTTTAATAAATTTTATTATTACCAACGAATCAGTTATCTAAAAAAAACGAAAATCCAAACCTGGTTCGTTCAAAGTTATTGTAATTATTTATTACCGATATAAGTTGTTATGAAATGGATACTATGGGTAATGAAGAAATGGGTATATCATGATCTTTTTACTGATTTTTTAATCGAGATAAGGTCTCATCGAAGAATAGATTCAAATGAATTAGATATTTTAGGAGAATAGGTACAATTTAGATACTCAATCAAGTAAGATTTTATTAATTCCGTAGATGTTTATTTATTTATTGTAATTAATTAATATTTTTATTTAGAATTAGAAAACAAATTTACCTTCAAAACGTTAAAAGGTTAAACAAGCTGACTTATTCAAAAATATAAACAATTTAAAGAGAAATGGACTGAAGAAAGAACACTACAGTTGCCGCCCGTTGTGAGACTTGGTGAGTTTGGTCAGTATAATGAGATGTCGTTAAAAAAAAATTTACTTTTAAAAAAAAAAAAAATTATTCGAGGCTTTTTTAAAAATCGGTCGTAATAATGCATCTGTATTTGAAAAGGATACTTTCTTTATCTGTGTTTGCTAGGATGTACAGAGCGGTGAAATTTTTTTTTTTCACGCTTTCAAAAAAAAAAAAAAAAGAAGCCTCTATTCATTTTTTTTTTTTTTACTAAATTGTGAAGTATAAAAAAAAATATCCCAATTTTCATAGTTCATCGTTACGAAATCTATGCATTAATATTTATATTACGGAAAACGATTAGAAGGGAGTGGTCCTCTCGTATTTTTATTATTGGTCATGGTAAATTACATGAGTCAACCAGATCGTTACATTAAAACTAATAAAGAATCTGTAGATGATAAAAAAAGATTGTGATTTCTGTTTTTTTCAATGATGAAACAAGATTTTTTTATCTATTTAGAGGTGATGACGATTTTTAGTACCGCGTACCCCCCTCATTGCGCGAATGATTTACAAAAATGGATTGGTTGAACCTTGGCGTTAATTTCCGTTGAACTTTCTACGCATAAGTTTTTTTGTTTCATAAATTGGTTTTATAAACTATAATGCAATAATAAATGAGATTCTGAGGAGAATTTTCGATCATACACAATTTACGGTTATTTGCATTCACTGAAAAAGGTGAAACATTAAAAAAAAAAAAAATATCACAAAATTCATATAATAAATAATTTTCCCATCCATTCATATTTATTATCTTTAGCGAATAAATTCGAAGGGTTGTTATTAGTAACTTAAAAAATATAATTTTTTTAATTACCCCTTTGAAAGGATCATCAATTCATCTATTCCTGAGTCGATCGTCTTACCAAATCTCACTTTGTCGGAAATTTGTTTTACCTATCGAGTATTTTCCTTATTTCATAACCCTTATGATACAATGCTGATACATGATTGTTCAATTATCAATTATCACAAACGCAACCAAATTAAGGCATGAAGTAAACTATTGAGGAAAGAGGGATTGCATTATTAACGTGAAAGCCGTAAAGTTAAAGTTTTTATGGATACAAAGAAACTGCAAAAGAAATAAGCAAAGAATGTTGAGTTTCGGAAGTGTGAGAAAGACACCCACACATCATAATAGTCGATGTGACATTAAAAAAATCCGATCCTTTTTCTTACAGGTTCGTGAAAGTAATTAGTATTACAAGAATTTGACTTAAATGATGCAACACAAACGCTCATCATAACCGAAAAGTTTATATAAATATGATAAAGTTTTGCGTTTTTTTTTCCTCATCCCCTCTGAAAAAGTAAAATCAAAAAATAAAAAAAGAGATTGACGGGCATCACCTTTCGCCTTTTCCTATTTAACATTATTTATTCTCCTTCACCTCACCCCTCCCCCCCTTGATAAACTCATTTTCTCCTTTAGAGTAGTCGCTGGCCTTCTATTCTTCAATCCGCAATATATATATATATATACACACAATATAAATACATCATATTTCTTTTACTTTTTTTTTTTTTGTTTTACATCAATTCACTTTATTTATCGAAAAAAATAAAATAAAATGAAAGTTACATTCTTGATCAGCTTTATTTTACTCGCCTCCTCTCTTTCCGTTTCGGCCGCTGAAGAAAAGAAAAAGTTAGAATTTGGCTATGTCGGATCGTTAGGTCCAGACAATTGGCATTTACTCTCGGAAGAATCCAAAATTTGTCAAACAGGGAAAAAACAATCTCCCATTGATATCACTTCACAAGATTTAAAAAATTTGGCAAAACCACCACCCGCAGAATTCAAAAATGCTAAAGATGTTGAATCATTTAATAATGGTAATACGGTTGAAATCTTTTCAGGAAAGGAAGGAGTTCCTTTACCCGCTACTATCCAGGTTGACGGAGAAACCTATGATTTACAACAATTTCATTTTCATACCCCTTCAGAGCATAGAGTAAATGGCAAACATTTTGATATTGAACAGCACTTGGTATTTACAACTAAAGATGAGAAAGTTAGCGTTGTGGCAGTATTTTATGATGTCGGTAAAGAAGAATCAAAATTCATGGCCCCTATCGTTAAAGATTTACCCAAAGAGAAAGACGATAAAAAGAAAATCAAAGAGATTGACCTATCCGGTTTATTAACCGACATTCAAAATATTACCGCCGCTTTCACTTATTCCGGTAGTTTAACTACTCCTCCTTGTACCGAAGGTGTTACTTGGTACGTTAATAAAGATGCTCAAGTGGTTTCTCTTGATCAATTCATGGGATTAAGAGAGGTTACGGGATTCAATTCTCGCTTCACTCAATTAAGATCGAATGATACTACAAACGAAAAACATGTAAAAAAGAGATCTCTATATAAATTTGATCGATTTCTAAAATAATTTTTGATACCCGTCAATCCTTTCCTTTTTCTTTTTTATAAATACAGTAGATATATAATTTGTACTTTTAGAACTTTTTTGTGTGTGGGTGTTATCGAATTAATTTAAATAAATTAATAAATTAAATTACAAAAAAAAAAAAAATAAATAAATAAATAAATTGAACATTATTTTCAATAAGTGCCGCAGTATAATCGTTTCTTTTTTTTAAAATTAAACATAAATAAGGACTTGAATATCTCGTACTACCGAAATATTATTTCTAGATAACAATTGGATCTCTTTCGCCCACAACTCTTAATACTCATGAATATGAAACATTCATCATTAAAAGGAATTTTCCATGTAAAACGTGTGAAAGCGAAACAATATTTTATATTCAACTTTAAAGGCATTTGGAGTATCCATGATTGTTTCAGATTTTAACTAATATATTAGACACATAATATTATTTATTGATAAATTAAGTTGACAGAAACAACTATCATTTTAACCTTTTTTACGGAATAAGGAACAGACCAAAGACAAAGACAGCGATCAAAACGTCAAATGTCACGTTTTTTTTTGTCTTACGCATACAGATATAGTAATGAATGTTCAATAATTAAAAAAAAAAGTTTATTTTTAAAATTATAATTTCTTGAATCCAAAATGACAAGCGAAGAAACTACAACTGTTATAAGTCCTTTCGATTTATTACCAGACGAGATTTGTTTAAGGATATTTACAGAATTACCTGTGTCTACTATTTGTCTTTGTCAAACGGTAAATTTTTTAATTTCCTTTGTTTTTTTTTTTTTCTCACGGTTATTATAAAAAGCTAAATGCTTTTTTTTTAGGTATCTAAAAGATGGTATTATATATTTCAAGATGAATCATTATGGCAACATCATTGTTCAATATTTTTTGAACCGGGACCTTTGCCACCAAGAACAAGTTCAACTTTAGATAGTTGGAAAAAGTTTTATAGACTACAATTGGATCGGAATCGAGGAACGGCAAAAAAAGCGTTTAATTTTAAAGCTCATGAATCCAAAGTCATTTCATTAAAATTACGAGGAAATATTTTAGTTACGGGATCAAACGACAAGTGTCTTGGTGTATGGAATATTAAAACTGGTAAACGGGAAAAAGAAATTCATGTTGGTGCTGATATTATTTGCGTTGATTTCATTGAACATAAAGATGTGATTGTTTGTGGATCTTATTATGGGTATGTCATGTCTTATAAGTTATTAGAAGTTATAAATTTTTTTTTTTCCTTCAAAAAAAACCTAACTACCTTTTCTTTCTTAGTGATTTCGGATGTAAGTTATTTTCTCTTTCAACGGGAAAACCTCTCGGGGAGTTTCGAGAGGATCATTGGATAGGAACTCAATGCTTGGATATTAACGATGAATATATTATATTAGGAACTTATAAAGGAATGATACATGTACTATCTTGGAAAGACGGTAGAAAGGTAGCATTATTTCATATTCATAACAATAGGGTGAGTTCACGTTCATCATTATCATTATTATTATGTTGATTCTTTATTTGACAAAATACCATGTTCATGTTTTTTTTCCTTTGAAACAGGTTGCAGGTGTTCGCCTACTTGGTAAAGATACTGCCATGTCTGTTTCATCAAATGGAGCTATTGATATATTCAGCATTTCAACAAATGATTTACTTTATCAACATTTCCTACCAAGAACGGCCGTCAACATATGCGCGTTCGATAATAATGTAGAAGGACATGACCTTTTATGTATAGCACCAGAGGGATCAATATTTCATTTAAGGTGGGAAGATTTAGATGATGTGAAAGGATCTATTTTGAGCGAAGAGGGAAAAATCGATGAGAGGATAAGAAAATTATATTCAAAAGATCCAATAATAATTTATCAAAATAATGAAATAAGTGATAGATTATTTTGTGCGGCAATCGATTCAAGATATAATTACGGAGTCATTGGATCGTTATCGTCATTCCCGCCAAAAGGCGATTTATTAATTTATAATTCAAATGTCAGTAGAGTAAATGGAATTCGCGGTTTTAATAAGATTAAATTGAAGAATTTTACGTCATCTGATACTGTATGTAATGTAAATGGTGATACCGAGAATGTAGGGAATGTTTCCCGTACGGAAAATGGTCTATTATCATTACCTGATTCCTCTGGTTCCGTGTTTAATGTGTTGGGAATTGATGAAGAAAGGGTTGTGTCTGGCTGTACAAGAGGCTGGATTCATTGTTTTGAATTTAATACTTGATTATAAAGTGGGAATTCTGATATGTATTGGATTTTGTAGAATAATTGGAAATATACAATGTGTATTTTTTATGTAAAAATTTATATATACAAGTCTCCCTTTATTTGTTCGTTTCTATATAAATTATATTAGTAAGAAAGGTAGATTATATAATTGTACGATATTACACACTATCTATTATACTCTATTTTTATTATTATTATTTTTTTTTTTTCTCATTTTGAGTTTTTATTTTTACTACGAATACAATTAATAAAGTAGCAATAAACCAAAAATTTCCACTTCATGCTATACAAAAAAAAAAAAAAAAACATCAAAGACCCCCCGTTGTTTTGAAAGGGAACAGATGTCACCGTTTTTCTGTTTCGACGCGTAAAGATCATTTTTTGGCACGTTCCCAATTTTTCAAAGCCAAAGCTTTAAAGCCATGAAACCAAATTACAAACCGTTCAGGTTCGGATGAATAAATAAGTGCTTGGACTAAAAAACAGTTCTCAGTTATTGATTTTAATCTCGTAAAGAGGAATAGGGGGTATTGCAAATAGAATACCGATCGTTATTACAGTGGCTAAAGTATCCCACATTAGAAAAGTAAAAGCACGTTTCCTATGAGCATATAGAACTGAAATTTCTTTAATTTTATGAAATCGAAATAATTTATATTCACTTAAAGAAGAAGAGGGGGGGAAAAGGCAACGTTAGAAACTTCTTTTTTTTTCCCCCTTTATAAAAAAACTCCCAAAAGAAATAAAACTTTTCATATACCTTGCACCAAATAAGATTAAGGGTGGAAAGAAACGAGTAGCAGCAGTTTGTAATAAAATCCAACCTAACCATATAGGAGGAAACCCCCAAAATCTTTTTAATCTGTTTTCTTCGCCCATAAAAATAAGAAATAATTCTAGAGCCAAACCAATTGTTAATGCTACTATGCCCAAAGGTAGAGCGGCTATAGCATTTAAATGAGATATATTCATGTCAATAGCGGATTGTATAAATTTTGGAAAATATATTACATTCATGATATGATAAACATAAGATTTTGCTGATGAAAATACAACAGGATTAAATCTCCCTTGCCGTTCAATTAAATCCTGCATCGTCGTACGACTTTCCTCTGGTAATATATTCATATGACCATATTTTTTATAAATGTTCAGAGAAGACTTTGCTAAATCTTCCTCACCAACCCTTTTTATAATTTCAGGTTGTGTATAATCTGACGATGAGCGCTCTTCAGAACTTATAGTGATTTCATGATGATCATTATTGCCAATACCACCACCATATGTTGTTGATGATGCTTTTGTATGTCTCTTTGAAGTAGAATGTCGATAATTTGATGAGGATGATTGAATTACAGGATTTTTTGAATCAACAAAAGAATTCACAATTGAAGGTGCAACAGTATCTTCGGCACTGGAACTACTATCATGATGATCATGAGAAGGTTCCCAATCAGCAATTTCTTCTTTATCATCATCCTCTTCATCCTCCTCATCATCGCCTTCAATTCCCGCATTCCCACCTTTCCTACTAGCCCCTCCTCCATCACTTTCACTTTGTCGTCGTTCAGTCTCATTGCTTACTCTTTCGCTCGTTTTATTAATAATATTTTGATATTCTCGCCAAGATTCAAATAGATTTTCATGGGTAACGACATCTAACCAAAATTTTAAATTATGTTCTCCATGCCATTCATTTTTTAGATAAGCATAAAAATTGTATTGTGATAATGGAGAACCTGATTGATTCATTAATACCTTTTCTAATGGAGGAAAAAACGATCCATCCGGTATTATTAAATTATTATCTGGTATTGAACATTCTATTTCTTCCCCACTAGTTTTTTCTTCTTTTTGTGAGGAAAATTCTGAAGTATCACCACTACTACGACGTTTTTGGTGCTGTCCTGCACCAAAGGAATGTATTGGAGGCGGTTCATTTCTATTACCTTCTTCCATGTTAAATTATATACGCAGCACTTTTTGTTTCATTTAATATATGATTGTCAATGATCGTAAACCGATTGTATAGCAAAGAAATTTAAATAAAAAAATATTTCATTACTAAAAAACGAATTTTTAATAAATTGTTTATTTTATTTGTTTATTAATTTAATTTACATTTATTTTTTTTAAAAAAAAATGAAAAGGATAATAAGGGAAAGGGATAAATAAAAAAAAAAAAAAAAAAAAGAATGTGTATATATTTGTGAGGGGTAAGTGAAAGGGTAGGTAGTAAAAAGATTAGTTGTGGCCAACATTTAATTTAAATAAACCGTTATAGGCTAAATATTTGGCAAATCATAATTTAGCGTTCAAATCCTAATACGAAAATAAGTGATTTTTTTTTTTTAATAATGACATTGTAAATCCGTAATTCTGATCGTTGATAATCCAGAACTTCATTCATTTCTTGGGTTCTATTATTTATATTTAAAGTTTTAAAAAAAAGTGTAAAAAAAAAAAAATGTACAGAATATATGTATAACAAATTACATACAGAATTTTTTATTCCGTGATACATTCATCAAGCGATCGGAAATAAGTCAATCAATCGATTTTCCCGATTTGACAAAATTAATCTAAGCTTTAACGCGCAAAGGAAAAGCGCCCAAGGGTGGTTTATATAAAATTAGATTTTCCAATCCGTTAAAATTAAGGAAACGCGAGAAAAGTACTTGAAATCACAAATTGAAAAGAATTGATGACTGAAGTACTGTACACTTGACCAAAATTGGTGGAACCAAACAAATGAGACATCTAGTTATTATGGATTGAAGGAATGCATCAATCTTTTTATGGATCTTTATATGAATTATTAGAATCTTAAATATATTAAATAAGATCAACTACTGAGTTTATGGTTGTTCATTCAAGCAACTTTGTCATCTCAATTGTAGCAACACCAATAACAAGGCGTTTCCATATATTGGTCATTGGACAGCCAAGTGTGTGTCGCTTATAATGTGATGCAATGTTACCAAATGAACATGTCAATCTTGGTTGCGGTGCGCTTGATGGTAATGACTATGATGATATACTTAATCACAGAGGGTGGATAAAAGTTTCCACCATTTTGTACATCGAATGGCTCATATACCACTAAACCAAATTTTTATATTTCATTCCTACCATCTCAATTTAAAATATATAAAATTTCATTTAATTTGAAACATTGGTTATTAAGAAATACAGCATCATGTAAAACGATATTGTATAAATAATTTTAATTACTTCTTATAATTTATTATTTATTATTTATATCCGTTTTCTTAACAACCAGTTATTAAAATTTTAATATGTTGTAGAATGAGAATGTGTTAATTAAATTTGGTTTTATAATCTGTTTAATAATATTAATATTTTGTTCTATTTGAATTGCTGAATATTAAAATAATTGATATTAAATAATATTTAAACTTTTTGCTAAACTTTGTATTTAATTTTTAAGTGCTTTTTATTTAGTTAGATTATACTTTATATAAAATAACAAAAAATTAAAAATTAAAAATTTATATATAAAATTACTATTAAGAAAAATTAAATCTTTTGATCCTAAATTAAATATAAAAAGTTACTTTTTTTTTTTGATTAAAATATTATAATTTTATTAAAAAACATTATTTTTAATAAATATTTTTAATATTTTTAAAATAAATAAAATTATAAATTCTATTAAAATATAATTAACAAATATTATAATAAAGTTTAAATATTTAGATTACTAATATTTAATTTATTTTAATCAATTTATAAAATATTTATTACATTTATAATAAAAAAGAGAAAACTACCAGAAAAATCAATTTTATTTATATATTTAATTTAATTTTTAGGTTAAAATATATTCAGATTTATCATTAACTCATTTTTACTCATCTCTAATAGTTTCTTTCTTTCTATTACAAAAGTTCCATATTTTTAAAAGAATTTTATTAGTAAATATAGATATTATCAATTAAAATAATAATAACATATTTATATTAACTAAATATATAAATTAATTAATTATAATTTTTCAACATTAAAAATATTAAAATTATAAAATCAAAATACAATTTTTATTATAAAAAATAAATATTTTAATATATATATATATATTTATTTAAATAAATAAATTTAAAAAATCTTTATATAAATTATTTATATATATTTTATAGTAGTAAAAACAAATACTTCAAAAAAAATAATTTTTAAATTAATATTAAAATTTTTTTTCTTATTTACTATAAAGTATTTATATTTACTTTTAATTTTAAATTTTATTATTAATAATTTATATATAATAAATATTTTTTGAATTTATCAATTTTTCTATATATGATATATTATAAGATTATAAATAATATATTAATTATCATACTACATGAATTTAAGTATTTAATTAAATAAGAATTTAAAAATAAAATAAAATATTTAATTTATAGTTTAAAAATATAAGTAAAATATAAAATTAAATCAAAATTTGAAAAATATAATAAAATATAAAATTAAGATAAAATTTGCAAATATGATTAAATTTTAATTAAATATAGTAAAGTATAATATGAAAAGAATAATAGAATAAATATAAAAATGTAATATAAAATTAAAATAGAATTTAAAAATATAATAAGTTTTAAATAATATATTTAATTATAAACTTTAATATAAATAATACAATAAGCTGAAATTATGTTTTAAATAATAAATCAAATTCAATTTTTATATATATTAAATCAATTATTATTTTTATTATCTCTATTATGTTTATTATTTCTATTATTTTTATTATTATTCTATTGTATTTATTATTTTTATTATTATTTCATTACTTTATTTATTTAATTTTATACTCTTATTAGTTAAAAAATTATTATAAATAAAATAATTTTATTAAATAAATTCAAATAAATTCAAATAATTAATCCATTCAATTATTCAAATTATTTTTTTAATAAAAAATAAAAGAATTCTATTTATATAAATGTAGATTTTGTATAATTAAAATTTAAATGGTATACTAAAACTAAAATAACATTTAATCACTATTATAAGAAAGATCAACTTTTATCAATTAAAGATAATATAAATATTAATTAAGTTAAATTTAAAATAAATAAATAAGAATAAAATATTAAATTTTAGTTTAATATAAATAAAAATATAATTAAATATCAGAATTTTAATAATATTAATAATATTTTAAAATAAATTTTGATAATAATAAAAAAGTTAATAATAATGATAATAATTTTATTATTAAATTTTCTCTTTATCTAAAATATAAAATTTGTATATAGAATTATTTTTTATTTTAAAAATTTTATATAACAATCAATTTCTATATCTTTATAAATTAAAAATTATTAAATTTATTAAAATATAACTACCTATAATTATCTATAAAAAGGTTTTTAGAAAAATCAGGTTTTGAAAAAAATTTTCACTTAAATTAAAAGCTTAATATATTTTAATCTAATAACATCAAAAATTAAAATACAATAAAAATTTCAATTTTGTTAAAAAATTCCTAAAACCTGATTTTCCTAGCAATCAACCCATATTATAAATTATTAATTTTACTAATATAAGTAAACATTTAAATTGTTTAATTATATTTATAAAATGAAATATTCTTTTTATTATATATTTCTTCTTGTATAAGATTTCTATTTTTATTTATATAATAACTATTTTTATCAATAATAATAATTATTTAAAATAAAATGAATTAAATTATTTAATATTTTTTAATAAATTTAATCAAATTAATAAATAAAATCTAATACTTAAAATACAGAATAATTGTTTTTACTTTTTATTTTATTTTTGATATCTATTTAAAACTTATAATATGATTATCTTTAATTTATAATATCTTATATTTTATCATATTTAAAAAATTTTTAAATTAATTTAAAAAAATAAATTAAATATAAAATCCTTAATTAATTATAATCTTTTATTATAAATAGTCCTTATATTAATTAATATTATATATAATTATATAATTATCCTTCAATTTTTTTAATTCTATATTTGATAAAATATATTTTTTTTTGAATTATGAATAAAACTTATATTTATCATATAAAATAAAACTAAAAATCTATAAGAAGGCAATATTTTTTCTTTTTCATTTAGAAATATCTGTTTATATAATTCTTTAAATTTTAAATGATTGAATTATTCATTTTAAAATTATATTATTCCAAAGATTAGCATAAGAAAATATTTAAAATTTTATTAAAAGAATTAATATCTTATATTATAAATTACCAATATCTTTTATATAGATCAAAATCTTCTATACTTTTAATTATATGTAATAAAATATTAAAAATATATTTAATTGATCTTCATTATTGATATTTGTATAATACTTACAAATTATATACAAATAAATAAAAATGATATCAATTTTATAGTATATAAATATATTTATATATTTACTTTAAAATGTGATTATAAAAAACTTTTTAGTTTTCTTCTAATGATGAAAATATCTTCTTTTTTATATTTATTTATATGCATAAATGAGTAGTTATAACAAATTCATTCTAACCTTTAATATATCTATAAATTTATTTTACAATTTAAAATTCAAATTCAATAAATAATTAAAAATATTTATTATAAATATAATTTATATCTATCAGGTAATTTAGATTTAAGTAAAAGTGTTAAATACAAAGTATTTAAATTATTTATTCTTTAGTTTTATATCTAGCATTATTTTAAATATATTTTAAGGTAGTTTTCTAAAATCTAAAAGCATATTTTTCTGTTATTTTACATTATTATACTAATTTTTTTCTATAAAAATTTTGATAAATAAAAAATATAGAAATAAAATAATTTTGACAAATCAAAAGAAAGTAATTTAAAAAAATATTTTTTCATTTTATTTTTATAAAGTAAATTAAATAATTTAATTATAAAATAAAATATATAAGAATTTGTAATTATTATTTATTTATAATTACTATAATTTATAATTAATATTTCTTTATCTTTAAAAGTTAATTTAACTTCTATTTTATTAATATATAAAAATTAATTTATATAAATATTTTTAATATATTTGACTTTAAAATTAATAGAAAAATAAATATATTTATACTTTTATAAGTAAATTTCTTGAATTTCACAAAATCTACAATCTGAATATAAATTATATACTATATTATTTATAATTTTTATAAGAGCTAAAATATTACTAATTTAAATAAAAATTTATATATATAATATAAATTTACTTTTAGTATATACATCATAATAAGTTATACTATTTAAATATAAAAATATATTTTAATAATAAAATAAAAAAACATTTATTTATAAATAAATATAATAAATTACTTACTTTTTAATTCTTTTATTTTATTAATAAATAGTTATAAAATCTTTTGGTTAATTTAGTTTAAGAATTAAAAAAAAATTAATAAATTTTCTTTTCTTTACTTATAAAAAAAAATATAGATTATTATCTATCAATAAAAATAATGAACAGTCATCAGTTTTTGTTTATCTATCACAAAATACTATAAATATAACATCTTATTTATTACTAAATAAATCTTTATTAATAATTCTCTATATATATTTTATTAAAAATATTTTCTAAATCTTCAGATTCAATCTTCTTATTACAGTAGCGGTCATAAGTATCCGATCGCCTGAGATTGTCCAAAATTATTATATAAATACTCCTTAAATTTTTCAGAAATATAATATAACACTACATGATCACCTGTAAATTTATAAGTGTCGATAATACAAAAAAAAATTTAGATGATCATCAAACTTTCACTTGAAAAATAAAGTTTTTTTTAAAAAAACAATATAAAATTATCTTTTTACGTGAACACTCAGCTGGTCTAAAATTTAGTTTTGAATTTATTGCTAAACAAATACATTATAGTAAGTCTATAGCTATTTATTGAATTAAAAAATATCATAAAAATTAGGACCTAAGTATTTCAGAAAGATCAGAGCAGCTTTGTATCATATTTGCGAAATAAGATGATAAAATTGTAAAAAATGGCAGAGAAAAAATATAATATAACAACCATTCAAATATAAGAAAAATAGAAAAAAGAGGTGTTAAGCTTAGTGTAAAAATAGTAAAGTGACGTCTTCGTAAGTCTAAA